TTTTTCCCCAATTTCTTCCCCATTTTCCCCTCTTTTTTTCCCTCTTTTTTCCCCATTCCCCCCATTAATTAATTAATTTTTTTAATTACTTTTTGAATTAGGGAAAACCCGACCTCAACACCACCCTTCCCATCCGACAGACGGCGTCCATCTTTAAACAACCCGTGACAAAAGTCACCAATCACCCCGGAAATAAAGTCAGGAGTGACCCCCAAAGGTTGAGTGAACAACCCAGGCAGGTGAGAAAAGAAAATTCTTCAAATTTTTCAAATTTTTTAAAAAAAAAATTCCGAAATTTTAAGTGGAAAAACGGCGAAAAAATGAGAAAAAATGGCGGAAAAATGGCGGAAAACGGAAAGAAAATGGCGGCGAACGGAAAGAAAATGGCGGGAAACGGAACAAAATGGCGGCCAAGGGAAAGAAAATGGCGGGAAATGGAACAAAATGGCGGCCAAGAGAAAGAAAATGGCGGGAAATGGAGGGGAAATTGGGGAAAAATGGGGAAAAAATTGGGGAAAAAAATGAGGAAAAAATGGGGAAAAAATGGGGGAAAAATTGGGAAAAAATTGGGGAAAAAATGAGGAAAAAATGGGAAAAAATGGGGGAAAAAATGAGGAAAAAAATGAGGAAAAAAATTGGGAAAAATTGGGGAAAAATGGGAAAAAAATGGGGAAAAAATCAGGAAAAAAGTGGGGAAAATTTGGGAAAAATGGGAAAAAATTGGGAAAAATGGTGGAAAAAATTGGGAAAAAAGGGAAAAATTGGTGAAGAAATCACGGAAAAATTGGGGGAAAATGGGGAAAAATTGGAGAAAAAAGTGGAGAAAAATTAGGAAAAAATGGGGAAAAATGGGGGAAAAATGAGAAAAAATTGAGGAAAAAATTGGGTGAAAATTGAGAAAAAAAAAGGAGAAAAATTGGAAAAAAATGGGAAAAAAATTTGGGAAAATGTTGGAAGAAATTGGGAAAAAATGAGGAAAAAATAGGGAAAAAATGGGAAAAAATTGGGAAAAATTGGGGAAAAAATGAGGAAAAAATGGGGGAAAAATGGGGAAAAAATGAGGAAAACTTCGGGAAAAAATGGGGAAAATTTGGGAGAAAATTGGGGGGAAAATGGGGAAAAATGGAGAAAAAAATGGGGAAAAAATTGGGGAAAAACTTGGAAAAAATTGGGGGAAAAATCACGAAAAAATTTGGAATAAATGGGAAAAAATGAGGAAAAATTTGGGGAAAATAGGGGAGAAAATTGGGAATAAAATGGGAAAAAATGGGGGAAAAATGAGGAAAAAATGGGGGGGAAAAGGGAAAAAATTGGGAAAAATTGGGGAAAAATTGGGTGAAAATTGAGAAAAAAAAGGAGAAAAATTGGAAAAAAAAGGGAAAAAAATTTGGGAAAATGTTGGAAAAAATGAGGAAAAATTGGGGGAAAATGAGGAAAAATTGGGGGAAAAATGGGAGAAAAAATGGGGAAAAATGGGGGAAAAAAGGGAAAAAATTGGGGAAAATTGGGGAAAATGTTGGAAAAAAATGGGAAAAAATGAGGAAAAATTGGGGAAAAAATGGGGAAAATTTGGGAGAAAAATGGGGGAAAATGGAGAAAAAATGGGGGAAAAATTGGGGGAAAATTTGGAAAAAATTGGGGAAAAAATCAGGAAAAAATGGGGAAAAAATGCGGGAAAAATGGGAAAAAATTGGGAAGAATGGTGGAAAAAATTGGGAAAAAATAGGGGAAAATTGGTGAAGAAATCACGGAAAAATTGGGAGAAAAATGGGGGAAAATTGAGAAAAAATTGAGGAAAAAATTGGGTGAAAATTGAGAAAAAAAGGAGAAAATTTGGAAAAAAATTTGGGAAAATGGTGGAAAAAGTTGGGAAAAAAATGAGGAAAAATTGGGGGAAAAATGGAGAAAAAATGAGGAAAAAATTGGGGAAAAAATCAGGAAAAAATGAGGAAAAAATGGGAAAAAATGGGGGAAAAAAGGGAAAAAATTGGGAAAAATTGGGGAAAAATTGGGTGAAAATTGAGAAAAAAAAAGGAGAAAAATTGGAAAAAAATTGGAAAAAAATTGGGGAAAATGTTGGAAAAAATGGGGGAAAAATGGG